AGGGATTGTTTGCTTTCAAACGCTTGCCCTTTGGCATTAAAACAGCAACTAGCATTTTTCAGCGAATAATGGACCAGCTCCTTCAGGGTGTCAATGGAACAATACCTTTTCTCGATGACATCATCGTGTCTGGGAAAACTGCTGAAGAGCATCTGAGAAACTTGGAGGAAGTTTTTCAAAAACTCCAAGATGCTGGTTTCACATTAAAAAGAGAAAAGTGTTTTTTTCTTCCAGAAGGAAGTGGAGTACTTGGGGTTCCGTGTGAGCAAGGAGGGAATAAAGAAATGTGAGTCAAAAATTAGAAGTGTTCTGAAGGCTAAACAGCCAGAAAATTTGACAGAAGTTCGAAGTTTTGTAGGAATGGTGTCATATTATTCTAAATTTGTACCAAGAATATCAACAATATTAAGCCCCATATACAATTTGCTAAAAAAAGACCATCAATTCAAATGGACCGATAGCTGTGAAACTGCATTCAGGGAAATCAAGGAAATTATAGCTTCCGAAGAGGTTTTGGTTCACTTTGATCCAAAATTGCCCATCATCCTAAGCACTGATGCATCAAACGTGGGCATTTCAGCAGTGCTCTCGCACCTAATTGATGGCAGGGAAAGAATGATCACCTGCGTCTCCCGGACTCTTTCGGACCCAGAGAAGCTTTACTGCACTACCCAAAAAGAGGCCTTGGCCATATACTGGGGTGTCAGCAAGTTGTATCAATACCTTTCGGGGCACCACTTTATTTTGAAAACTGATCACCGACCCTTGATAGCACTTTTTGGCGAACACAGGGGAATCCCACAGATGTCGGCGAACAGGCTGCAAAGATGGGCAGCATTTTTGTCCATGTTTGATTACGAGATCCAGTATATAAAAGGGGATCAAAATTTTGTTGCAGATTACTTTAGCAGAGCACCACCACCAGACGTAGAGAGAGGAAAGGAATCAGAGATGTTGTTCGTGAACTTCACAGAGTGCCAGGAGGATTGGCCAATTAACAACAAAGAAATCAAGCAACAAACTCTACTTGATGCTGACCTGGAGAGTGTGAAAGCCTGCATCGAAAATGGTTGGAGTGGCAAAATCAGTGAAAGTGTAAGGCCATACTACAACAGACGGGACGAAATTTCGCTGGAAAATGGAATACTCCTACTTTCTCACCGAATAATTGTGCCGGAAACCCTGAGAAAAAAGATTCTTTCTGAAATTCACACATCTCACTGGGGAATGTCGAGGATGAAGGCCCTGGCAAGATCATATGTATACTGGCCCGGCATCGATTCAGACATAGAAAATTTGGCAAAGTCATGTCAAATATGCATCCTAAACAAGGACAATCCGCCCAAATCAGGCTTGACTCCATGGCCATTGGCCTCAAAACCGTTCGAACGAATTAACATAGACTTTCTGTCATTGAAGGGCAAGGACTTTCTAATCCTTATAGATGCTTACAGCAAATGGGTAGAGGTCTTCCTCATGAAAAACACTTCAGCTTTTGAGACTGAGTCAAAGCTGCGCAAGACTTTCGCCAGATTTGGATTGCCGGAAACAGTAGTAAGCGATAACGGCAGCATGTTTGTGTCTGCCAGCTTAAAGAAATTTTTTGCCAAAAACGGAATTAAACATCTTACCTCTCCAACGTATAATCCTAGGAGTAACGGAGCAGCAGAGAATGCAGTGAGAACCTTTAAGAGCAAGGTTAAGACAGCGTTGCAAGACCCGAGAAATAAACAACTACCTCTGGAAACCCTCATTTCCAGATTCCTGATGTCCTATAGGACAACACCACACTCCTCAACAAACAAAACACCACATTACTTGATGTATGGCAGAGAAGCCAGGACAAGACTATCCCAAATTGAAGAATTACCATACAAAGACCGAGAAAACTCAGAAAAAGTAGGATTACATCAAGCGAAGATCGCACAGCATCGCCAAATACAGTATCACGGTGGAAATACTAGACATTTTGAAAATGGTGAAAAAGTTTTTATCGCAGATTACACAGGTGGTCGGGGAAGAAAGTGGTCTCAAGCAAGGATATCCAAGAAAATTGGAAGAAACACCTACATGTGCAGGTTGTCGACAGGACAACTGTGGCTTCGTCATAGCAACCAAATTCATAAATACTTGCCTTCAGGAAAGCCAGTGGAGCTGGACACCAAAAACTCAAACTCTATTGCAGATTTTCAGAATCCTAATGAAGCCCCAGTCTCTGTCTCAAAAAAAGATATGAACAAAAAAGTCAGCTTTAATAACTCTCCCTATTTTATCAATATCCCAACATCTCTGCCTCAAGTTGAAGAGTCCAGTGTGGGCGACGTACAGAGTCAGGACGATCATGAGCTCAGCAACACCAGCTTTCATAGTACCGCCTCTGACTCTGACGAAAATTTTCTAAATGCAGTGGTGTCAAACTCTCAGCAGTCATCTGTTTTAATAGCTAAAACTTTTGAGGCAGTAAGTGATGATGTTCCAAGCACCTCTGGTCATAGTAGGGTCTTGATTGACGAAACTGGACAATCCAGTAGTAAAATGCCAGATTTAAGGCCAAAAAGGCAGCTGAGAACACCATCATACCTGTCTGAATATACTCAATAAAGACTGAATGGACTTAGAATGCAATAAGCATTACTGTTAGGTTTGTAAGTAATTTGACAAGCACATATTGTGTACTTCATGTTTATTTTATCTTATGTATGTATAATTTTATATTTTATGTGTAGCAGTGTTCAATCTTGTTGGTTAGGGCACAATTCCTTCTTTTCTGTATTCCATTTATTTTCATTTATTTTTCTTTCTCTGTTCAAGTAGAATGTAGAAAGTATCTCAGGGTGAGGGCAGACTCGAGACTCCAGAATGCTCAGAGGTACATTACAAAATGTAAACGTCACTAACCTAACAAGCATCCAGAGCTAGGGGGTTTGTTGTCACCTAGGTACAAATACCAGAATTACTATGTATGTAGTTTAAGTCATGCATAAATGCCTGCATTACATAATGTGGGTTTAAACGCCACTTCACTCCTGAAGAAGCACATTTTAAAACCACACTGTAAGCTTTTAAAGAAGCCTTTGCTCACAAGGGTTGTGCAAGAATTTAGGAGTGGGGGAGTGTGGCAACGCGGCAACATTGCCTTGTCAAGGGTCGCATATAAATAGCGGACGTACAGACGTCTCTGCCTCTTTTGGTAGCATTGAAATAACCTAATAAACAAGTATTGTGTAATCTATGTGCTCTGTCCCTAACCGACGCGAAATAAAGCAGTATTATACGAAAGTGTTCGGACTCTCATTTAGCCTTAACCCCCAAGATATCACAGAATAGTTCTCAACTCTGCAACAATTGTTTTACCTCTAGAATGTGTGTTGTTAGTCCTTGAATGTTTACACATACACAGATGCAAAATCAACCTGCTATTTATTGAAAAAAATGCCTTGGATAATTATGTTTTTTCATATCATATAAGTAGCTCATTCCTGTACCATGCCCTTTGATAACGAACGCAGACAGTGGTGATTAAATAAATAAAATCGAGAATTGAAAGTTAAATCAGATTACGATACAAGATAAATCGATAGATTTTCGATACTACTTACATTACATGAATTGAAGTCTGAGCAGGGACAAAACAATTAGGGTGAGTTCGTTTTAGCCATCGCGGAGCGGATGAGACCAGACAGATTTTTTGATCACCTGACCCTGGAGTCATCTAGATGCTTGCCAATTTCCGAACGGTAGAGATTTGTTAGAGTTGTCCGTCAGAGTCATTAACTATGGTCATTAATGACATACTTTGTCAATAGTTGGGTACTCGCAAACGGCAACAATATGGAAATTAGTCGAATTTTTCCAGTGGTTATTAATTTTGCTAATGAAATATTCTTTGATGATGAAGAAGAACGCATGGAGGAACCGAAAGTTGTAAATTTTGTGGAACATGTTGTTCATTTCTTCAACGACCAACAATTCCGAAGACATTTCCGGATGAATCCATCAACGATGGAAAACTTACTCCAGAAAATTGGATCCATTGTACCAGACGTATTTACAGGAGTACCAGGATCCTGCCATGATGTGAGACTATTCCAAATGTCAGATTTATCTGAGCGAATAAGGACAGAGATTGTCCAATTTCCTAATGATACACATATCATAGGAGACTTAGCGCCGGTACTTTTGCTCTCATTTGACAGCCGTTAAAAATAATCAGGGGTTTGAATGTGCTCTAACCACATCATTCATATAGACCTTGGCCCATGCAAAACTTTGACGACGGATCAAATTCATTAATCAAGAGCAAAAGAATCGGCCCTTAGCCTATACACTTACAAAGACACTCATGGTTAGGTTCAAGGACTTGGGTAATTTAACTGATCCACAAAAAAATTTCAAGAAGAAATTATCCGAGATAAGAGTTATTATTGAGCAAGCCTTTGCTCTTTTGAAAGGCCGATTTCGACGCCTGAAATACTTGGAAACTGTTAGATTGGACCTAATTTGTTTATTTATTATCGCAGCATGCATATTACATAATGTATGTATTTTGAATAATGATAATGCAGAAGAGATAATACATTTAGCTCAAGAAATAGAAGAAGAAAGGGTTATACAAGAGGCAGCACATATGAATGTTGAAAATGCCCCTGCAATAAGGAGAGAAGCAGTTCAGAAGAGAAATAATTTAATGAATAATTTATTGTTATAAAGTTTAAACACTGAATTTTGTTTTTTTTTCTTCAGTAAATTCCATTAACATCAAGCGAGAATATCTTTTGTGTTTGCCCTAGTCTCGAAAAAGTAATAAGAACATTTTTCAATTGCTTAACAAATTTATTTATGGTAACAGAACTCTTACAACTCTACAACTTTCTATTTTTTAACTAAGAAGAACCTACACTGAGGAAGAAAATAATAATTCAACTTCTAGCATAGAAAATTTGGTATAAATGAAGGAGATCACTGGATCACTCACAGCCCTTGTACTCTTGTACAGTAAATCACTTATTTTTCATGGTATTCACCAAATCTTCGAACAAATCAAGAAATCGATCTTGGCGTTGCATTTTGTCCTTATGGCGCTTATCGACAGTATTTTCATATCTTGCTCTTTTTCTGCCCAAGTTGCCAGTTCTTTTGGGGGTGTCATTCTCTATGTCATTACAGTCAGTAGTATTTTCTTCACAATCTACATCTCGAAAGCAAAATAATTAATCTAGTTCTCTGAAAAATAAAGTTCATGTTAAAACTGTACCTACCTGTTGAAGTAGTGGCTGTTGCACTGTTGTTAATTTTGAGCCCTCTTGAACTGCTACACGTTACAGGGGGAACTATCTCAGGTTTCTTCTACATGAACTCATCCATCTTATTGAAAAATATCCATTTTTTTGCATCATTTCCAGACTTTTCATTATGCTGTTTGATATTTTTGTACATATCTTTCAGCCCTTTCCACTTGGTGTCACACTGCTGTGCACTCACATTTAATTTAGTCTGATCAGAAACAATGGTTGCTATTTTCTGCCATACATGTCTTTTAACTTTGCTTTGGAATTCGTCATCGTATTTCTTCACCAATGATATTAGAAAATTTGTAGTATCAAATGTCCAAAGCTTTGCTGTTTCTGGATGCGCATTTGATTCTCCAACTTCAAACGAATCGATGGACGTGACAAGATTTTTCTTGTGGAATCCATAGTATTTTTGTGTAAGCTCATCGAGAAATGCCTGATCTAAAAGTAGGTTTAGTGTTATCAAATTGTCAAAGCATTACTAAAATAACAAATATGTAATGATTATGGTTTTAATATATTTTGTTTTGAAGACTTATTCCAACTTATCTGTTTTTGCCCTATTTATCTCGTACTCTGTCAGCCATACTCTAAATTTAGAACCACTCGGAGTGTGGACCAGCTCCACAAGCTGGGGGCTTCCTGTATTTTCCATTGAATATACAGAAAATAAAATAAATTATTGATGGTTGTGTGTTATTGCTGTTTTTCGGCTGTCATCAGTACTGTCATCTGAACGCTCGGTCAATAAGCTCCGACGGAAACGGGGGTCCTCTGAGACATCCGGATGTTTAAAAACGAACGCAGATTTATTTACCTCCAACACGTCAGAAACAATAAACGAACGCATTTAGAGACATTCGAGGCGTCCGACGACTAAAACGAACTCGGCCTCTAAAGCTTAAGGCAAGGAGTGCTTCGTTGCCAAATTGACGTCAAAGTATATTATTTTGTTTGGGTTAGATTTTCCTAATAGGTGTGGACAATGTTTATTGTTTAACGAGTGACGAAAACAGCAGTTTTTAAAATATGTAGAATGTTTTCAAGTTACAGAAAATGATTTTTGACGAGAATTGTTTATTTTTCAATGGTCAGAAAAAAACTTTTTGCTAATGCTAGTTTGTTTGTGCAATGAAAGATTTGGATTTTGTTGGAATTTTCGACATTTTTATACAACAATCGTAAACAGAATTGCTCATCCTAATAAGGCGTACGTTCACCAATTCTTGAGCAGAGGGTCTGCGAGTGGCGTCGCCACAGCTGCTAATAGTGATGACGCCATCCGCAGACCTCGATGGAAGGCTTGCGATTATTTGATTTTTTCGTCGATTTTAAATGTAGAAAAGGTGATTTTAACAGGATCTTAACGTTTAGGAATTCATTTTTTGTGTGCTTTAAACTCGAATAATGCATTTTACTCCAAGAGTTGAGGTATGCAGCTGACATAGCAGTTGGCTGACACTTTTAGCTCAATAAGCAGTCCTACTGGGGATTGAAAACAGGATAATCTCTGCCATTTTCTGGACACCTGAAACTAAGATGATCCGTGTTTTTCCTACGAATGTGCGGAAAAAAAAACTTTTGGCATGTACAAAGATTAATCTTTCCGCACACCCTTGAGAAAAATTGTGTTCCTTAAGCCTAGTACTCGCAACCGCGAAATTTGCGTTCTTTTGACATTGCTTCGACAATTTGACGTTTGATTCACGCATAGAACGTCAAATTGTCGATGAAATGTCAAAAAAGAGCGAATTTCGCTGTTATGAGTACTAGGCTTAACACTTGCTAGAAATGGTATTTCCCGCACTTGTTAGAAAAATAACTTTTTTTTTCCGAATTTGATATGAAAAAATTTTCCGGCCTGTAGGAGAACAAACGAGTTTCCAGTTTCACTCCAACCAAAAGGCAGTGCTTCAAAATACAAAATTTGTAGTTTCAATTTTATTCAATTATCAATTTATTCAATCATAAGTAGTATAATCAAATTATGAAAGGTTATTATATTCTGTGTCCACTCAAAAGGCCGGGATAATAATAATAAACAACTGTGGTGGCGTGGCTTAGCGCTGATTCCTGTCCAAACATGAAAATGCCAAAAATTGCAACTTCGCATATAAATTGTTTCGGGGCTACCACCAAGCTCTTGTGGACAGTACCCCCGTGTCTTATTAATTCGGTTCTTCAACATTAAGGGGATTGAATGCGCCTCGATGCCAAAATATTTTTTCCTGCGCGAAGCACTTAACGCAGTCTATCATTGTATTCTTCCGCTCCGATTAATACTCCTTGTGGGAATGAGATGAATGAAACAAGGAATGCATTGCGTTCTTAGTTTCAACGTAACTTTTTAGCAGCTCAAGTTATATCAAATTTCTTTTTTGCATTCGATTTATAATATAGGGAAGAATGGCGCTATCTTTTTAGAAATTCGGTAATAGAAACGAGTTCTCGAAAAATTACAAAAATGTAATTTAAACTGGAAAAAAACGAGAAAATTAATCAAATTATGGTGTCTTTTTTATTTAGCGCCAATCTTATGTGTGTTAGCAATACAATAGCACAAACCAGAATCCCAAAAATCATCTAGTTTTTTTTGTAGAAATTTACTTAATTCTTCTTGTCATTTTGCCTGTCTCTGTTATACCCGCAGCAAACCCTATGGCTCTTTCCTCCGCCTGATTTGCGATAAATTTTAAATCGCTATCATGAAGGATCCAACGCCAACCGGTCCAACAGTAGCCCAATGCATTAATCGCGATGAACCTCGCATCTTTATTAGCATTAACTTGTTGGGAGTCGTATAGTTCGACGTGCGTTACAATATATTTTAAACGGCGCATTCAATACCCTTAACTGCTATTTGCACCGCTACAACTTAAGGTCAGCCTTAGTCTTAAGTGGAACTTAAACTACGATTTTGCTTCGCACCGTTTGTTTAGGGTCCACCTCAAGTCTAGTTAAGTTTAGCCCCAGATTTTCTCCGCTTAGTTGGATTCTAACCTCATTTTTGGGTTTTGTTTTCTTTTTTTGACAGAATTCTGGTTGACTTTTGATTATCGATGATTTTGTATTGGTAACTGTTATTTAGTTATTTGTTAATGCTTATATTTTTGTGCGTCGGGTAATTTCTACAGAATTTTGCACAAGAATGCCAAAAATATATTCAAAATAATATTCATGTGATATAACTTGTGAAAGAAAAGACGAAATTAACGAAAATATTTATATTTTAATCGCAAAGATAGGTTAACGGATAAATTCCTTGCTTGAAATAGGTACATCCTCCTTCATTTCTGCCTTGAAACACGCATTTTTGCGCTGTTGCCAATAGCTTTCAATTCTTAGCTAAGATTTGGTCGGTGCAAAGCAACTCAACTTAAAGGTTCACCTTAAGCTTAGCCTCTACCTAACTTAGTTTGTTTTTAAGGAACACCGGTGCAAATAGCTGTAAGTTGTTGATAAATCAGCAAAATCGATTCTAGCTTTAGAAATGATTGAACTATCGATCGTTTTGTTGACGAATCAAAGTTACAATTATTATAATTATTGATTAACTAGCTGACCCGGCGAACTTCGTACCGCCTCTGAATTATTGAATATACCTATTAAATGTTGTGTTAACGTATCTATTAGCTGAATTAAATTTAGTTTTTTTCGATGGTGAATTTGGCTTTGGTTGAAGAAAATTAATGTTTACTCTCTGGATCAAAAGTCAACTAAAATTAAAATTTTACATCATCCTTTTTTAGGCAGCTTGTGGGCATTATTCTTGTAAAGTGTACCACCAAATAAATAAACTCAGGCACAGGAATGTTTAAAGAATGTGAAGAAAACAAAAAAAATCTCTAGCGCAGCCCTGTTTCACTCTATCTGCACTGCATGCACTGCACTACTCCATCTGTTCTACTCTATCTGCACTACTCTATCTGCACTACTCTATCTGATCTACTCTTTTTACACCACTCTATCTGATCGGAATAGTGGAATAGTTCTGTTCGAAATAGCTCCAGTTCCTGAGCAGCATTGTTCTACTGTATCTGCAATGCCGAGCTTCGTTCCAGGTATCAGAGATGGCGCGGTATACAAAATACAAAATAAACTTGGTATCGGTTATAAGAGATGGCGCCGTATGCGGGCTTAGTAAATTTTTTTCATAAATAAATAATAGTATATTAAAGTATAAGTGGATATTAAGGTCTTTAAAACACGCGCGATTTTTCGAGCACGACGGCGCAGCCGAAGTGCTCGAAATAGAGCAAGTGTTTTAAAGACCAGTTATCCACGAATACTTTACACTATTTTTTTTTATTAGTATACGTTCAATCAAATCATAAATTACTAATAATTGTAGAATGCCTAAGGGTGGATTTTCATGCATCCGTTTGTCCGACGAAATATGTCCGAAAAATCTTCTATTTTGACATATTTTTATACGATTATGTCAGAATAGACCTATCTATTTTACCAGACAAAGAGGTAATAATACGAAATCTTTATTAGATAGAAAAAGACGCAGAACGCTTATTGCGCAAGACGAGGCAAAACGTACCAAATTATGTTAGACTTACGTATAGCAATCCGTTCTTATTATTTGCACGGGATAAAAAAGGAAGGGGGAAAATCGCGTGACGTGCAACCTATCTGTCAATCAAAAACACAAACAATTGAAAATCGATCACTTGTCAACCTGCGTCAAGTTGAATATCAAGCATAATTTTATCCTTGTCAGAATGTCAGGCCACGGGCAATGAACAAGGACAAGGAGATGCCCAGCGTGCAAAAGGATTATTTTACACCAGTACTAGTTAGCCAATAAAAATGCATTGCCTCGTGTTGCGCGCGCATACAGGTAAAAATAGATAGGTCTATTAAAAAGTTGATATTTATGTGCCTATTCTGTAAATCGCCTTACATCATTGTAAATCTTAAAGCGCGTAAGTTTATATCGCGATGTATAATTGAAACTTACATTGAACGCCAAAGCTCGTATTCTGTAGCGCCTGGTGTAAAGTACATAGTTACAGCGCTTTCTTTATAGCGCTCCTAACTTTATAGTAATAAACGTAACCTAATATTCTTGTAATTTGACAATTTTTGAAGTTGAAATATTTTGGAATAAAGGTGAGATATTATCTTTACCGTCTATAGTCGTCCTGGTATGAATCAAATACAAAAGGCCTTCACGGAAAAGCTGAACCGATTGATCCACAGGGTTGGCATAGAATTTCCCCAGTTTATAAAACCCAGTGGGGTTTTTCGGGTTTTTTCAGTTGATAAAGCCCACCAGCACCAATATTGGATTTTTTGGGTTTTTTCAAAAATAGCGAATTTTCAGTTGCATAAGCGTCATTTTTGCAGGAAATATCAGAGATTCCTCGATGATTCCCCAATTCCCGGCTGTTCGCTGTTGGCGTTTGGCGTGGAGGCCTGCGCAAGGACTCCGCGCCATGTGGAATTCGACATATTGAATATGCTGAGCTTATAGAATCCTGTCGATAATATGTAGAATTCTGCATGACACGGAGTCTCTGGGCAGACCAGCCAGAGGCATGGTGCAATGCACTGTGTACTGATACCAAGTGTTATTATTTATATCAAGGGGGCTTGCTTTATTTTCTAAGGACATTTTAATTTTGCAACGAGTCATAACTTTTGTAATACTTTCGCTAGAAAAGAAACTATAAATCAAATTTGATCGCGTTAATCCATTGTAATTGGATCAGCGTTTTTGTAGAGGCCTTGGGTGTTCCAAGAATATGGAAAAGTGTGCGTCTCCAGAATTGGTTTATGGAAACACACAATCGACGAAGAATAGAATAGAAGATAATCATACATTGTGATTTCCTATGATGATGATGAAATGCCTAATCTGTATTAATTCCATATTTAACTAATATCTCACTCGAAACATTTCTTTTTGCGATTTTATGCAACACAAAAAACTTTTCTGTTTCATACCGTCAAAAATATAACAGTACGTCTCCATTTCCCGCGACGTATATTTACAGTAGGTGTAAGACTATTTTACAGCGCCATGTAAGTTACAGAATTGCTTTTTCTTTACATCCTTACAGCTCTCAAATTTTCATCCCTTAAGGCCGGGACACATCTATCATGCATTCTTCCGATCCGACTCCGATCATACAATCAAGGTCCTTATTTTTGGAACAGAGGAGCAGCGGAACACTCATTCTCCTGGGAATGCTGCTCTCTGCTCCAAGAATAAGGACCCTGATTGTATGATCGGAGTCGGATCGGAAGAATGCATGATAGATGTGTCCCGGGCTTTACAGTACGTTACATCGCATACAGAATCGTACCATTAGACCTTTCTCAGGTTGTTGGATGTTGATGTTGTCATTGGTAATGAAATAGGTTATCAATAAAAAAAAATAAGTAATGAAATGACCACATTAATGACATAACAACATGCTGGTACTGTCAACGCTGAAAAAAGTTTCAATTTGACAGCAAAATCTCCATTAACAAAATGATTCTCCATTTATTGAATAATTAATTTATTACAAAAAATGTGATAAATGAAGAACCGCTCGACCGATTTTGTGCAAACTTCACATAAACCGTCTAATAAATAGTCCGAACAAAGCCTAAACATTTGGTTTGGGTAGGTGAGCCCGTTCTTGAGTTATAAAATTACAACGAAAAGTGGCATCATAGAGAAATATAATAGTAGTAAACTACGAGAGACGTTTGTTTAATGTAACAATCTGGAAGTGTGTTTGTGCACATACCCGTAGCGTATTTCGCATGGTGTGACAGATTATTGAACTAATTACTTCGATCGTTTCTGACAACTCGGTTTAATTTGTCTTTGTCAGCAACTTGCCCGAAAATGTTCTATCTTTTTTTAACACATACAAAATACAAAATTGTCAAAATTTGACAAATTATTAGGTTTGTTCCAACCTGCAATAATATTACTGTAATATTATCATCCGTAACCGCGCTAATGCGACTGCGCAATCAAAAACAGTAATATTATACTAAATAACTTAAAAACTTGTTGGAACGTTTTTTGAACTAGTAGTACTCACAACACAAGATGAAAATAACAAAATCAACATAACTTGCATACTTTGCAGGTGAATCATCTTCCACCACAATAAGGAATTCTTCTAAACCTAATATAAGACAAAAATCAGATTTATTAACTCTGAGAATAAATAAAATAAAATTACTTAACTTCTATATAGCAGTCATTTTCAAATAAATAATTTAAATAAACAAAAAACTAAGGTTCTGGGTTATGTATTATTATTTATGTTCGTTGTTGTTCAACCACTGACCCGTTTTCAACCTCACTACGCATGCGTCTAATTTAAGAACCAACAGTTCTTCCTTTCAAGCAAGAATCGTTTGAACCGTAATTTTACTATCCGTAACTCCGGTTGGAACGACGAACTGTCAATGGGCTACTTTCACATTTTTCAAAAACATTTTTAAAGTATACTTTTAGTCATTCTAATACTATCTGTATACTTTTTTTCCGAAAAAAAACGCTTATTTTTGAAAAAAAAATTATTTAAAAATCGAATTTTTAAACTGGCGTGAAAAAATGAACTTGGTGTGTGACGTCACACACCAGAAAATCAAGGATGCCAAATTTCTCATTAGTAAATCATTACATATTTCACTAGCTAGAAACTATTTTCGTCCTTTACTACATTTATTGCTTTTTAACTTGTATTTATTACAATTAAGCTCTTTTTTTCTAATCATGCGAGATAGGTCTATTAGGCAAAATCGACACCAATAACAGTGTGTTTTCGAATTTGCGATGATGCGATATGCAGTAAAAAGGTAAACACAAAGCTTATAA